TTTTCTGACCGATGAGCTTTGTAAAAATCGACACGTTTCAGAAAGGCAGGGCATAGAGGAGAAACAATAATGTACAGTATGTGGAAAATAATGTGTTTTTTGAACCTTAAACAGCATAAACACATTTCATTACACCAAATACACAAAATAATGTTCTTTTTAGCAACATCATATGACCCCTTTAAATTGTCAATGCAAATAACTGTATAAAAACGTGCATAACGTCTAAATATATATATATATATATATATATATGTAATATAATATAATTTTGTAAACTGCATGAATTATGAACAAAACAGCATCATGTATTTATGCATTGCTTAAGCCACAGATTGCATTTAAAAACATATGAGATGCAGTGAAATGAAATAAACCTTCACAAATTCGCGTCGCGTTTTCTAAACGTTTAAACTGTTTTAACTTTGCATGGCTTTCTTTGCATGTCTTGCATGTGACGCGAGTGTAGCAGTCATATTTGTCCATCTAAAAAATGTGCTGAATATGCGTTCTGTGTGAATGGCTTGGTTTTGGTTTTAACCTAATTAAGATCTTCTACGCATTGAGCTACTATATTTCTCGAATATTTTGAATTTTGAAGCAGTTGTTCATTTCTTGAAATGTATGTTTATAGTAAGTAACTATATACATTTTGCTTACCACAGACCTTGTTTTACTCATGAATTGAAAAACCCTATTATGAAAACCCATAGGAAAATCTCAAGGGAATCTATGGGGAATTAGTCTTCCGGGTTTTGCCATCAGTCATTCAGCACTCCATTCCAAACAGAAAATTAAAACAGAAAATTCCAGTATATGTATGAAAAGACTAATTTAGTCAACATTAGGGAGTGCTACCTGCACAATTTAAAAGTGTAGGATTATGGTTGAACCTTTAAGTCGGCAGTTTTGACTCAACCAATTGGGAGAATCTTGTCACACCCAGATATTTCTGTATAACATTCATGGCTTAAATGCTGTCATCATACATTACAGTGTCATTTTACTGTACGTGAGCATCAGGTTGATTCATTGCCTCTGACACAGCAGTGAAATTTATTACTGGAGATCAGAGTGTTTTGTGTTTGTCTTCCACAGGTTCACGAGTACCTCAGGAGTAAGTTGTGCTCTCTCTATGAGAACGACTGCATCTTTGACAAATTCGAATGCTGCTGGAACGGAAATGACAGGTTAGACCCTTTGCAAGCCTGTATTATCAGGGTTTCCGCGGATCCGTAAATGTTGTTGTATCAAATTTAAGGCCATAAAAAGTCTTAAATGGTACAAGAAAGTCTTAATTATGATTTCAAGATGTCTTAAATGTGGGGACGGAAAGACAAGAATTACAATATAGCTTAATGTGACGAATAAACTTCAAAAAGCTATGATTTCATTAAATAAACATGAGCACTGCACGTTTCAAAGTAAGGTGCTGCCTGCCTTTGCAGTGGTTTTCAAAACTGTCCTGGAGCGCTAGCACTTTAGTCCCTCATTTAACACACCCGATTCAACTTGTCAGCTCATTAGTAGAGACTTTAAGACCTGAAGTGGGTTAGAAAATGTAAAGAGTTGCGAGAAAATGCAATGCGTGTCAGATCTGCGTCATGTTCAGCAGCGGCAACTCTTAAAGCAGCCAAAATAACCTAAAAACCCAGCTGCTGTGATGTCTGTTCATCAAAGAACAAAAGAAAAAAGAGCAAATCAATAACTTTTGTAGCTTAAGGATTCATCTATATTTAATTTAGAATTTAGTGTTTGACAACTTTATTCAATTTCTGTATAGGCCTATTTCCTACTTGCTGACTGTAGCTAAATATGACATTTATTATAATGTGTTTATGTGAATATTGTTTTAAGATCACTTAAATTAGAAGTTGTTATTTTTTTAGTCTAATATTCTAATATTTTTAGTCTGTTATTCTTTAAGTCTTATAAATGTTAAAATTGTTAGCTCTCAATTATATAATAAATGGTTAATAATTAAGGGGAAAAAACTTATTTCATACAGACATCAGAAGTATTCTGCCGTGCAAAGGCAAAAGACCGTAACTTCGATTTTTGTCGAAAATTAGTTATTGATATTTTTGTGACATTCAAGACATCCTTTATCATGTGCATACGTATCTTGAGTCAATTTTGTTGTTTTTCCGAGAAAATAATGGGTCGTCTCTAGGGATGCAGCGATTATAGATTTTGTTGGTACGATTATTGTCTGCGGAATAATCACGGTTTTACGATTATGGCGATTATTATGCATTTATTAATTTCCCAACATTACTAATGTATAAAATCACATGAATACTCTTTAGATATTAAAGTGTTATTTATTTCTGGCTTTTGAAACAGAAATAACACCGTAACCAACAATACAGCACAAAATAATAACAAACAAAAGTCCATCTCTCCCATTGGAATTAAAAAAAGGTGACCTCTGCTCTGTAAATATCCATGACAGTATTTCTCTTTTGAAAATAACAAATGGAAATAGATCACAGAAGTATTTAATGTTTTCAGTTTGTACGTTCTTTACATTTCATTTGGACCTGGGGTTGAGAATTTGGAAACATGGTGAAAAAAAAATCTTGTTGGTTTTTACTTATGAATAATACTACAACAGGGATAGTAAATAAAGTTAATGAAGTAGCCTATTATTAATATACGACTAATAGTAACTTTATTTGTCCCACAGTGGAAACTGTTACTAATGATGGAAATAAACTGAAATATTATTGTAATCAACTGTCATCCATACGTATTAATTTTAATAATCTTTATAATAATTCATATGATTTTACATGTGGCCTGAGAAAATCATGTCTATTATTTTGGTTTGTGAGAACGCGCTAAAACGTGTACAAACATTCAGGAGGACACAAACTTCTTGAAAATGCTGCCCCGTGACTTTTATTAATAAAATAGATTAAATAGCCTAACTGGAGAGACGCACCGACGCAGGTAGGCTAATT